TGTAGCAATTTAGGGCCAAATCCGTAGTTTCACACTTGCCATACAACAGTTGATTTATGTTTTACCTTTCTATTTAGGAATTGTGGGAAAGAGACGGATCCTTCTGAATCAAGAATATTAAAGCTACAGTTCGTAAATAACATCTCTCTTCCAGTATTTACTGGAGCTCGGATTGAAGGAGAAGAATGCTCCACTGTACAAGTAGCTTTGGTCGATTGCTTTAGTGGACATATTGTCGAATCCGGGCCTGAATCCACAGCCAAGGTGGAAATAGTTGTTCTTGAGGGTGATTTTGATGGTGAGGAGGGTGATGATTGGACACTTGAAGATTTCAAGAATAACATTGTAAGAGAGAGGGATGGAAAGAAACCTCTTCTTACAGGAGAGGTAGTTTTGAATCTTAAAGACGGAGTTGCACCTCTGGGTGAGATTTCTTTTACTGATAATTCAAGCTGGACAAGGAGCCGTAAGTTCAGGCTAGGAGCAAGAGTTTCAGACAACTTCGATGGAACTAGAATAAGAGAAGCAAGGACAGAATCCTTTATTGTTAGGGATCATCGGGGAGAATGTGAGTGCTTCTTATTTGGTTTATTTATAAATAAATTGTCTCTAAGGTTATTGCTAGAGTACTGATACTAAGATCGAGTGTTCTTTCACTTTCCATTGTCGGGGTTGTGCTGTCTTAACCGTATTCATTTATGATCAGACTGGCATATAGTTAAACAAAAAATTTCTTTGTAAAAATTAACCATATCTTGTCATAATATCTCCTTATATTGGATGTAGTTAACTCCATATATTTTCATTTGCGATTATCATGCATGGCTCATGGCCTTCAAATTAGGATCAGCTAACTTAAGTAAACATACAATATTATAACCTGACCTACTTCTGGTTCTGCAGTGTACAAGAAACACCACCCTCCATCTCTGCTTGATGAAGTATGGAGACTAGAAAAGATTGGCAAGGACGGAGCTTTCCATAAGCGGTTGAGTCGGGAAAACATCAACACTGTGAATGATTTTCTCATCCAACTCTTCATAAATCCTTCAAGGCTCCGGAATGTAATTACTGAATTTTCTTGTCTTGGTGAAATTACATTTTCCCATGATTAATACTTTATTTTGAAGATTACGTATCATCTTGCGCATTTAAATGTTTCATAAAAAGGGAAAATGTACTAGTTTGAGCGGCCTTGTTCAACCCAACCCAAGTATCCTAGTGGTTATGACATTTTTTATTTTTTTGGGTGGAAAATTGCAGATCCTTGGGACGGGTATGTCTGCTAAGATGTGGGAAGTCACTGTGGAGCATGCTCAGACATGTACACTCGATAAGAGGGTGTACTTGTACTGCCCTCCCGGTTCTCAGGAAACTGGTGTGGCCTTCAACATTGTAGGGCAAGTGATGGGACTTCTGTTGGAACATGAATATGTTTCTGTTAGTAAGCTGTCTGAAACACAAAAGGCATGCTACCTATCACCTCAGTCCACTCGCTTTTATCTTTTTTCTGTTGCATTTTCTTAAGTCATGTCTAATTTCATATGGTCAAATATTGTTTTTAGGCTGATGGCCACCACCTGGTCATTTCTGCATTTGACCACTGGGAAGAAGTAGTCCTGTTTGAAGATGAAGCCTCTCTTATAGCTGCATCTTCCAACTTCACTAATGTTCTTCACACATCGAGCTCACCAAGGGCAGAGGATCTTGACGGAAGCAAGTTTTTGGCTTCACAAAAGATTGGTGGATTTGATTATGCACAGCCATCTGCCTCTTCTCCAGATATCATCTCATCCATCTATTCCGTGGGTAGCACCAGTGGCTTGGATGATTATGCCTTGCACAACATTGACGGCTTCGGTCTTAGATATGATCAGCCTCTGAGTTTCCCAGGTCAAGTCACCAACTCCCTGATCTTTGACACCGACCCCATGGCTCATGCTTTATTTGTTGAGGATCATCTGCAGTTTTCCGATGCTGATCTTCAGTCCCAGAACATGAGTTCAGAACCACAAGATCTACATAGCGCTGTGGATCGCTTCTTGCCGAGTTCAGCTGTTGCCATATCTGATAAGGCTCAGAGGGGATGGACAAAGCTATTCAGTGTGCTGCAGTGGTTCTCAATATGGAGGATCGTGGCTTTGAGACGAAGAGTTCAAGATATTCAGAGATAGTAGTAATCACGTGTGAAAAGATTGTTTGGTTACAGTTGCAAATACCGTTTAGCGCTGCCCGTATAGTAACTTACGTGTGCAGGTAGAGTGAGATCTCTTGGAGGTTTTGTTAGATGTAAATATATCTGGTAGTTTTTTTTTACTAGTTTCTTAGTTCTGAGTGGCCAGAGAAATAAACTCTCAATCAAGTTGTTAGCTTGTATCTATGTAGGTTTGTTCAATAAAGGTATCCTTTTCCTAGCTTATTAACAGTGTTCGGTAGAAAAAAGGGCTTCTAGATTCTGAAATGTGCTTCTAATAGAAACGTTGAAGTGCTTCTTACATAAGTGCAAGCAACCCTAAATCGGTGCAAAATAATCTGTCATTCATCTTTACTTGCCTGGAGCGAGGGAAGTCATGATTCGTGTAAGCAATAAAAACAATGGATTGGGATCAACCATAGCATCTCCTATTTGATTTGATTCCTAATTATATTCATGTATTTGATTACGGAAATTAACGTGGAACTTGCGTTATTGTTTATCCCACGAACACATAGAATGTCCGGAATCGAAATAATTACAATACCCACGTTCTAATGATCGAAGTGACGTCAAGAATCAGAGTGACTACAGTGCAAAGTGCAAACAACAGAAGCAACTAACAGTCTTAACATGCTATTGCAGTCAACTAATTGCCCAATAATTTCAACTGGGGAACCGTTTTTCCAACTCTCAGCCACCATTTTCCATGGAAACTTGGTAAAGTAAACCTCAAACTTTACCAATAAATATTTCCTCCATTGACCACCAAAACCAAAACCAAACCCAAAAAATGGAGAACCGAATAGGGCAAGTAATTGTGGTCGCATATCCAGCTCAAGGCCACATAAACCCACTCCTCCAATTTGCCAAACGCTTAGCCTCCAAAGGCCTAAAAACCACCCTAGCCACCACCCCTTACACCATCAAATCCATCTACGCACCCACCGTACGAATCGAACCCATCTCCGACGGCTACAATCAAAGCGGATTCAACCAAGCACCAAGCCTAGCAGCCTACCTAGACTCATTCAAAACGGTTGGCTCGAAAACCCTAGCAGAGCTCATACTGAAGCTCAATGCCTCAGCAGGCTCACCACCTGTCAGTTGTATTGTGTATGATTCGCTGTTTCCATGGGCACTTGATGTGGCCAAGGAGTTTAAAATCTACGGAGCTGTATTTTTAACCGTCTCAGCCTCTGTCTCCTCCATGTTCTGGCGTGTCGTAAATCGCGGTCTGTCGTTGCTTACGTTGCAAGAAACTGATGATGGTCGGGGTTTGGTGAATATGCCTGGCCTTCCTCCACTTGCTCCTTCTGAGCTGCCAATTTTTCTTTCACAGCCTGAGAGTGAGACTCACTCTCCTTATATTGCTCTGATCCTGGAGAAGTATAGCAGGCTGGAGGAAAATGATTGTATCTTCTGTAATTCTTTCCAAGAGTTGGAAACTGAGGTAATTGTGTTAATATTCTCCCAGATCTTGATATTATTTAGCTGAAAATAAAGGTTTTTTTTTTTTTTTTTTTTTGTTTTCAAGTAGTGAAATTAGTGACATGGGATTTTGGTATTATCTGCTAAAATTGAACTAGAATTTAGAAAAACAAAATAAAGAAGAATCAGACTGGTGGAAACTGAATATTTATGAAGAAATATGCACAAATAGTACGATGACAAAGTTTTTGTAGAACTTTCGTTTTCCCCTTCTGCACTTCTTCCCTTTGATTTATTCAGTTCAAAAGTCAGAGGGAGGAGAGCAAGGAAATGATAGGGAAGTTCGATCACTACCCAACAATAAATCCGTATATAAACCAAGGTTTAGTGCATCTGATTGTTTTGTTGCGTTTGTGAAATTCCCTGCATATCACAGAAGTTGAGCATTATTGCTTATTAGATGAGGATATAAAATTCAATTGAGTTTGGTACGATTGACAAAAGAGGCAAGGATCAATGTCATCAGTGTTTTACTTATCCAATTCGTAAATCAATTGGAAAATTCTAATTAATTGTTCTTATTTCAATTAATTAATTAATATACTTGTGGAAAAGCTGTTGAATGAAATGCAGGGTCTATGGCCCCTGGTGATGGTGGGGCCCATGGTGCCATCGGCCTACCTGGATCAACAAATGGAAGGAGACATAGCTTATGGAGCAAGTCTCTGGGAGCCAAAAGCAGACCAGTGCATGAAATGGCTGGAGGAAAAAGCACTTAAAAGTGTGGTTTATGTCTCATTTGGAAGCATGGCAGAGATTGCAGCTAAACAGGTTGAAGAAATTGCATGGGGATTGAAAGCAAGTGGTCTGAATTTCCTGTGGGTTGTGAAAGATCCTGAAGAAAAATTGCCAGATGAGTTTTTGGAGTCAGTAGGTCAAGCTGGATTGGTCGTGCCATGGTGCAACCAAGTGGAGGTTCTAGGACACCGATCGGTGGGTTGTTTCGTGACGCATGGAGGATGGAATTCGACATTGGAAGGGCTGAGCCTAGGCGTACCGATGGTGGTGATGCCGCAGTGGAGTGACCAGCCAACTAATGCGAAGTTCTTGGAGTTGTGGGGGGTTGGAGTGAGAGTTCAGAAAAATGAAGAGGGGATCGTGAGTAGGGAAGAGATAGAGATGTGTGTGAGGGAAGTCATGGGAGGAGAGAGAAGTGGGGAGATCAAAAGGAATGCCTTGAAGTGGAGAGAGGCTGCAAAGAGATCTGTTAGTGTAGGGGGCAACTCAGATGACAACATCAATGAATTTGTAGCCAAGCTTTCAATGCCGAAAGAAGGCTAATTAAGCAACAATAAACTCAAGCATTGTAGAAACTCAGCGTATCGACATTTTACATTCATCATCATTGTTTACATATAACTATGAAAGAATGTACGAGTGTGAAATTTATACATCTGTTCGCCTTTATATAGCATACGAGTATTAGATGTTAGCTAAAAGAGGAAAAAAACCCTTGGTATATGATATAGGCTCGTATAACGCCAAAAGTTTGGAGGACAATGGAACCTTTAAAATCCGGACTGGTACCAGTTACTCTGGGAGTTTACAATCTTTTGGATCTTTACACACTTCTCCCTGCATCAGAAAACAGATAACAAGATGCTTATTAGCACCAAATTGTTCAAATATTTCTGTCTTAAGTATTTTTGTATGAAATTCAGTCAGCAGACCTGTTTGATGTCTAACATAAGCTAATGGTTCAAGTCCCATTCAGATTCAATTAGAGGCATTGAACGGTAGTAGAAATGAAATCCATGCGATCAAATGGTGCTTACCTTGTTCTTCTTTCGCAACTCCAAAACCTCTTCTAGAGGTGGCCGGCCTAAAACAAAAACAGGATATCGGCATCATATAACATAAGTTCATATTAATCATAATATATATGAGGCAGCAGTGTTAACAAATTAGCATACCTGTGATTTGAAGACGATATTTAGCCCAAACGCCATATACAGCACCTGCTATTGTCGCAATCTGTGCATAAAGTGCTTTCCCATTAGTCCCCCAGATAAAACAAGACAAACTTTGTAGACCATTCAGTTTACAAGATGGAAATTGATGAATATCGATGCAGGTAACATAAGAATTGAAAGAGGAGTCTCACAGGTTCGTATTTAGTTATGGCATACACCCATCCGAGCCCCACCTGCTCGTATAGCTTTCTGAATGCCTGCAGAAGTTTTCATCAGCTTTGTCAACATCTCTTAGACAGCTAAAAGTAAAATTGAACTCAAAATAGGGAGTTCAAACGTGGCACGGAAAGGGGCTTACTTCGACATCAGTGGCTACAGTTCCATCAGAGAGGATGGCGTGAATGTTTCCCATAACCTAAGAAAAGCCAACACAAGAATTTGCCACTAAATTCTAATACCTTTTTCCAAAACATGTTACATCATCGTCCATCGAATTTTCAATCTAAGTTTTTCATATGCACTTCAGGAAATCCGAAATCTTATTCTACGAGGTCATATTAGATATGAAAAACAAGAAATACTCCCATTGAAACTGATTTGTAAATCTTCGTATCGAATTTCATCACTGCAAACTTACAGTCTTGTAGTCCAGCCCCTGATTCTCCTCTGGGGAGTAATCATCTGAACTTATGTCAACAAACTTGATAGTACCATAACGCTTATTTCTCTCTCGCAGCATGTCCACCTGCCAATGTAACGAAAACTTCAATACACCCAAATCCATCAAGAACAAAAAGAATCCATAGCTTCACTCTCACGAAACTCATCAAACAAACGCTAATTACATTAAAATCAGCAAAATAACAACAGGAATATCCAGATAGACGTTTGAAGGTACGGATAGACCTCTCGCATGCATAAAGGGCAATCCCCATCAAAGAGCATTTTAATCTTCCAATTCTGAGGTGTTTGTTCTTGACCATTTTTTGTATTTGGAGTCATGGGGTCTGCAGCTGCCCCGCTAATAGCCCTTGTTGAAGACTTAAACCCTACAGGTAGATACATACATATGCATCATATAAAGCAACCAACAATAAAAGACTAAACCCGATAACCCTCAGACATTGTTCGGCAAGAATCACAGTCTGACACATATGCATAAACAACTCAAACGAATACAGATAATGAAAATTTATACGCACATATCTTGACGAAAAAGTAGGAATTAAATGAGAATGACATAAGGTTGTGTATTTATGTGAGCATATAGAATGATTAATTAGTTACCACTGAAATAGATACATCATAAACTAATTGGTAACGATAAAAAAAAGTTAAAAAAAATACGCACAAATAAAACTGATCACAAACTTTAAATCAATAGCATAACTAGTAAGACGCTAAACAGATAATATGGAGCACCATGCGGCTTATTGTCTGTTTCGTGTCCTCGAGTTTGGTAACAAACCATGTTGGTGAATAGGAGCTGAGATGAATCTTTGGGGATGATGAATCTGATGAACTTTGAGTTGTTGGAGAGAGAGAGGAATTGATGAGAGAGAAGGGTTTCTTTGTCTCCCTCCAATTTTACATGCGGAAGCAGCTGCTTTCATTGCCATTGCTTCTTCTTCTTCTTTCTGTAACCAAATCCAGAGCTCTTGGGATTGAGATTTTGGAACCAAAAGGTTCAAAGTTAGTTTGGTTGGACTGCCCTGGTTCGTAACTGTCATGTATACGTGGCAGCCTATCCTTCACCCATAAACATGACACGGCGAGTTAAAAAATAATATGGCAAAAGTATGGGGGTGGAATAGAAATATATGGTGGGAACTAAATAATATGGCAAAAATATGGGGGTACAACAGAAAATTAACACACAAAATTCGGCCTGATGGCGAAAACTCGAGTCTTTACCCAAATATTTGGTTTTGATAGCTGCTGCTTCAACTTCAAGCTCGGGTCTTGAACCATGGCGTTCCTGCTCCGCAATTCCGTCGCTTCCCATCTCCAATCCCACTCGCAGGTTTCTCTCTCTCTCTCTCTCACGTTTGGCTCAGTTTTTCCTCTCTCGCTAAATCTAACTTTCTCACTTCGACAATCAGAGGGCGCAGAACGATTCGCTTTCCCAATCACGCCGCCAGTTCCACGTCGAGCCAGGGCCTCGCGAGAAAGCGGTGAGTCTCTCTCTCTCTCTCTCTCTAATTTTCTTTTCAGCTGTACAGGATTTTGATGAAGCTTATAATTTCATCTTGTATTCGAGATTCGTCCTTGAAACTTTGTATTTTTATCATTTTTGATAGCTGGGTAGCAAACCCATCTGAGCAAACAGCTTAAAGATGTTAGCTTTAGATTTATTTGTGCAAATTTTGTTTATTTATTTGTTTGTGATGTTTCTTAGCAGCAGAGTAAATGTGTTGTTGATTGATTTCACGGGTTGAGTTGTGCATTTTTGCTGGACTAAGTTGTTTAACATTGCAGCTCTTGGCAGCGGACCCGTCTTTAAAACGGTTCAAGTCGCATAAGAAGGGCGTGTCGCGAGTTAAAAGACTTGGAGATGTTCTTACCATTGTTGTCATTGCTGGTACGCAATTCTTTTGCTTGAGATTTAATCAGATGGTTATGAGTTGCTATGCACAAGTTTAATTTACCGTGATACTTTTGATAAGACGTAGCTGTTACGCGCTCCTCTGGCTTTCGTAAATTAGTTCTAGTTACCATACGTTTTGAGAATTTTAAGATAATCTTGTTATGGTTTTGGGGATGTGGTGATAGTCTATCAACATTTCGATATTAAGCTGTCGGTTAGAATCTATCAGGGTGCTAGATCATTCAGAGATGAGATTAACAAGATGATATTTATAAGAATATGTAAGTGCTTACTGGAAGAGGACATCTTATTGAGACTCACACAACAAACCCAAATGACAAATAGAGAAGAAACCGGATAGAAAAACTTCAATATGAAACCGTTTTATTATAATGTTCAGTGTTTGATTATTTTCCTTTTCCTTGTTTAAACTATATGGTCAATTGATTTGGTTGCATTTATTGTCTGATTAGTAAAGTCCTCGGTAAGGCTATGACGAAAGAAGGGGTGGGGGTTACAGTTGTTTTAGCCTCATATAGCTTAAGTTTGGAATATGCCCCTCAAGAATGAGTCACAAGCAAGACGGGTTCATTTTCCTGCTTCCCTCTCTGTCTTTTCTAGGGTTGCAAAGAGTGTTTGTCTTCGCAGATGCACGTTCATAGACTTATAACAACACCCATGTCAAACTATGGGTAGAATCTGTTGCTTATATTGATTGCAAAAAATATGATTACTTTTTCCATCCGTGAAAGTGGCATGACAAACAATGGAAAATAGCAATCATGATCATTAAGATCTGATTAGAGATCGATATTAGTTTTTTTTTCTTTCTAAACTGTTGAAATCTGTTTTATATGTTAACTAATAATCTGTGTTCTATGATCCAACTGTTCCATATCTGCGTATAAGATAGGTTGAGATTGAGTACATTTCTTGATAGAAGGCAATAATGGACTTCCTTTTGATTGTGACTTTTCTTTTATTATGGTACCTTTCGTCGGTCATTTTCGAGTCTTGTTTTACTCATTAGTTGTTACAGTGTTCCCAGTTTCCCAGTCTCATGTGTTTGCAATATTTATACAGGCTGCTGCTATGAAATATATGTAAAAGCGGTAATGCGAGAAGAAGCTAGGAACCAAGCAGGGGCTTCGGGTGCAAGTGCATAATCAGGTGTGTATGTGGGCGGTGTTTGATTTTCTCTAGCAACCATGCTGGAACGTGTTGATTCTGAATGCTGAATAAGTGGAAAACAGAGTATCCCGAGTTGCTTTCCGAATATCTGTTTCTGATCTCTATCAGGTTTTGTTTCGTAATAATAGTCTATTCTGTAGAAATCATAGAACAACTTCAACAAATGCATTTGAACATTCTTTGTTTTTCTTTCGGGTAATGAATGTTTTCCTTAACTTTAGACCATATACCCTTCCCCAAGCTGGAAATGCAGAAGGAACATTACCAAACCATTACTGTTTTCGTGTTTGCAACGCGTATACTTTACCGATACCAGTTGAAGAGACCAAAATTGGTGATGAGTTCGTTAAGATGATGTGTTTATTCGCATATATTCAATTTGCTCTTGGTATCTGAATCTGTGAGCGACAGAGCGAGCATTGCAGCTGGAATGGATGACTGGTGATTGATTGATGATTTCAGTGGAGAAACACCAAGGGTTCAGATTGAAAACAGTTCCAAAAGGATTAGCAGTGTTCAATTTAAAGATACTAATGTGAAATTAATACATACTTTATTCTTACTTTAATTACAAATATATTGCAATTAATTAGTGTACAAAGTTCTTGACTTTTGGTAGGGGCGGCTACAAAGCACCACCCAAAGAAAGAAAGAAATATTTTGGCTAGCTAGTGGGGGTGAGTCTGGTGGAGATGTGCTGTTTCCAGATGGTTCCTTCCACTCCATGTTACTTCAAATTGATTAGAAATTTAGAAGCAGATATATGAAGTATTAAAAGGAAGATAATATAAAGTGTGCATTTTTGTTCGCCACCTTTAAGTGGCGGTAATATTTATCATCTTATTCATCATCGTTGTATGAATTTATATTTTCAGATTTATATATATCCACTATGCAAATCTTAAAATTTAAATTTATCGAACAAGAATAATAAAGTGATGAATATAGCAATTACTTGAGGTTGGAGAGCAAAAACATTATTGTGCGTAAATTACATAATAATCTCTTAAATTTGAGATCTATTACAATCACATACAACATCTTTAAAATATTTTACTTTCATACCTCAGCTACTATTTGATTTCAATATATTACTTTCGTTACATTTTCCATTGATCTATTAAAAGCTGACGTGGCTGCCATATTTGTACCATGTGGTTGCCACCTGTGTGCCATGTGGAAAAAATAATAATTTAAAATTTTTTTTTTAAAACCTGAATCTTCTCAACAAAAAAAAAAAAAGAAAAAAAGAAAAAAAGGAAAAACGTAGAACCCACCCACCTTCCCCGCAACCCCTCCTCACCCCTTTTCTCCTTCCCGAGCCAAGCCTCCCAACCACCTCCCTCTTCTCCACTCTCTTCACCTAATCCCTTGTTATCGTGTCCGCATCCCAACGCGATTTTGTTAATCGAGCCCAAGAGCTGGCTCTAGGTGGAAGATCTGGCTGGGTTGAAAACCGGGTCAAATTGCTGGTAGCAATCGGAGCAGGGGCCGCACTGGAGCCAGTTGACGTCACTGCCGGTGTTGAGCACCATGTAGAATGACTTCACTGGAGTCCCGACGCCAATCCGGGATAAGTACTCGCCGCTGCCCTGGCTAACGCCGGAGACGACGGGGGTGGAGAGGTCCTAGGGTTGGATCTCGGCGTGCATGGACTCGAGATCCCCTTTTTTTTATCCCTTGGAGTGCCAGCTGGAGCTTGGTGTGGAGCGAGTTCACTCGGGCGAGTCGCAGCCTATTCTGGTGAGGGTGAGGGATTTGTAGTCCTTATGCTGGGAATTGAATAGGGCGTCGTTGGGGTGGAGCTGGAGGGAGAAGGCGGATGAGTTGAGGGGTTGGGATTCTTGGGATTGAGATTCCAGCAGTTTGAGGGACTCCATGTCGAAGGAGGGGAGGTGAAGAGAGTGGAGGAGAAGGAAGTGGTTGGGAGGCTCGGGAGGGAGAAGAGGGGTGAGGAGGGGTTGCGGGGAAGGTGGGGTGGGTTCTGCGGTTTTCAATTTTTTTTTTTTTTTTCTTGAGAAGATTCAGGTTTTCTTTTAAAAAAAAATTAACGTGACATATAAGTGGCAGTCACATGGTACAAATGTGGCAGCCACATGGTTCAAATGTGGTAGCCGCATCAGCTCTTAATGGATCAATGAATGTAAAATGTAACGGATGTACTATATTGAAATAAAATAGTAGATAAGGTATGAAAATGACATATTTTAAAAATGTTATATGAGATTGTAATAGATCTCAAACCTGATGAGGTATTATGTAATTTTACCCTATTATTGATAATCAAGAAGCTGAAAATTGAGTAGGAGCAAACTCTTATAATTTGAAGCATTATTGAGTTTTTGGCCCACTGACCCATATGATAGAAATAATGTCAAAAATATTCAAAAAGAAGATCTTACAGACATACACCAGCACCATCATGTGCCCTATCCCTGACCATACCACAACAAAAATATTCAGAAATGGAAGATATCTCCTATTTTCTGACCTTAGAAAACAACTCAATGTTGCTCATTTACTTTATTAGTATAAACTCAGCACCTTATCTGCTAAGATATTAAATTATATGTGAAAATTAGGTGCAATTCTCAACGATATGAACTATGAGACCTTTGCAATTAATACGAATTACGTGACTTTTTAAAATGAAATTAATACTTAAAATAAATGAGTTAAAAGGAACAAAATCTATTGATTTCATTCAATTACAACAATTAATTAATAAATCACTAATTTTTTTTACCAAAAAAGAACAAAATCACTTCATGCATATAAATTTAGAAAAACAGAAAAGTTCAAATTTTTTTTAATTTTAATGAAAAATGACAAATAAATATGTAATAAATAGTAACAAAAAAAATAAAAACGTAATTTTTCGTTACCGAAAATGTTTTGTTAAAACATCTTATAAATTTCCGTTTGGTCCAGAAGGATCAGTTAGAAGGACACGTGTCCCCAATCGAGGACAAAATAGTCATTGTACACGAAGTTTGGTTAGGTGGAGCCAAATTCATCATAACCTTGTATGTAATTTACCAAAATACCCCTCAAAGTGTCCAGCTACCAAATTTGATTGGGCCAAGTTCAAAAAAGTAAGACCCATCACCATCACTAGGCATTTCCAAAAATTTTCATGTATGTCTGAGCTGTAAACCTTGGACTAAAAACTGAGAGAGAGAGAGAGAGAGAGAGAGAGAAGAGAAAGTCTTCTCTTATCAAGAAAAAGCAAAGTTTTCCGGGTAGTGGGTCTGAAAAACGTTTGTGTCTTTAGAGAGATTTTTGGGATTGGGATTGGTGGTGGGAAGAGAAGATTATTGGGGGGTCTGTGAATTTTTTTTGGGGATGGCAACGTTTGGAGGGACAACCCAGAAGTGCAAAGCATGTGAGAAGACAGTATACTTGGTTGATCAGCTCACTGCTGACAACAAAGTCTACCACAAGGCCTGCTTCAGATGCCACCACTGCAAGGGCACCCTCAAGGTATGCATATGCATACAGAAATATATATAAAGGCACTCACTTTTGCATTTATTTCATGGTTTTCTGATGCTTTTTGCTTCTTTTTTGTGGTCAATTATTGATTTACTGGATTGGTTTTTTTTTTAAAAAAATTCTGAGATTTGATGATTATGGTGGAATTGGACTGATATGAGAATAATTGGAAGAAAGAAAAAATTTGAGATTTTATTTTTTTTGTTTTGGAATTCTAACTTGTTGGATAATTGAGCATAAGTTTGCATAGTAAGAAGCTATTTTAGCTGCTTGAGTGATGGTGGTGAGCTCAAGCAAATGATCTTTGGATGTGGGCATGTAGATCCACTGGGGATTGAATTGTGATTCACTGTTTCCTGCGTTGCTGTGTTGAAATCTCTTCGTTTGATACATCTTAAATTTACTTGCATTGACTATGTTCTTGAAGTGCTTTTGAGAAAGAGCTTTCTGTTGCTAGAAGTAAGATTGATTTTGAATTCTGGGTTTGTTCAGAAATGATTTTCACCCCAGTTATCAATTTTACCTCCAAATTAAACTTGACCAACAACTTGTTCGTAATTGCAATCGAGCGAACATTTCATAAGTGTAAGGCCGTAGGACTTGTTCAAATCACAGAATGTGTTGAGTACCAAGCTAAGGGAAACAACTATTCTGCATTTTTCACCTTAGCATTGAATGTTATTAGCAATGTGCTAACTAAACTCCCAACCATGACTCCATTATGTCTTCTAGGTTCTCGTAAACGGAGTTTTTGAAATCGAGCGGACCCATTAAGAGTTAATAATTTTTCGAATTTGAAATTTGTATCATTCAGAAACAAGGCACCTACTCTTCACGTTAAATTCCGTGTGAATATTTGATCTTCTAAAAATGGAATGAGATGTTTGATACATTTATCCTTATTTACTTCTGTCTATGCAGCTTAGTAATTACTCCTCTTTTGAGGGTGTTTTGTATTGCAAGCCTCACTTTGATCAGCTATTTAAGATGACTGGGAGCTTGGATAAAAGTTTTGAAGGTGATAAGCTGCTCAAATTGTCTTAACGCATAATTTTTAAAGCTTATAACCTCTTGCTAATTTGTAATTTTGGATTATGTTCTCCCTATCATTGTCTTTTAGGTATACCAAAAACTGTTCGAGAAAGATCCGATCAGGTACCTGCCTTGATTTGCCAATTCTTTCTTTTTTCCTTCATAGAGGTTATGCAAGTTCATCAAAAATACAGAATTTACTAGTGGGATTTTCCCTTGTTTTTAGAAGTTTTTATATTTACGCTAACTGGTTCCAGTACACAGACCAACAGTAAAGTTTCGAGCTTATTTGCTGGGACTCAAGACAAGTGTGTTGCTTGCAAGAAAACAGTTTACCCCATCGAAAAGGTAAATTTCTGCTTCAACGTATCAATGAGCTTCCTCAGTCCAAACTGTATGTCAGCTCTTATGGAACTGTCTATTTTACATGTAAATAATTGTCAATGTTAATACGCGTTATGAATGTATAGACGGTGTGACATTGTAGAATCCAGCATTCTTTAATCTGATTGCTTCTTGTTCCAGGTGGCAGTTGACGGCACATCATACCATAAGCCTTGTTTCCGGTGCACTCATGGAGGCTGTGTGATCAGTCCATCAAACTATGTAGCTCACGAGCATCGTCTCTACTGTAGGCATCACCATAGCCAACTCTTCAAGGAGAAGGGAAACTTCAGCCAGCTTAGCAAGCACGAAGAAGTGAAAGAGGTGACTGAGAACACAGACGCAGAGGTTTAGTAATTCGATCAAAACTTCCATGCTAAAACTGATCACTCCCAGACCAGAGTTTCTAAGCAAGAGTACGATGCAACTGTTGTAGCTTGTACAAGAAGAGCTATTCGGGTTCCTTTTTTTTTTCTTTCTATTTCTATGTAATGTGTTGCACTTTCAGGTACAAAAATTTGTTTTGCACTTTCTTGCAAATTTTTGAGTGTGAGTTTGAATGGATGATATACCGCAAGTTAATGCGTAATTTTCAAATAAAATACTATTGGTTGAAATTGTCACACCTCATCTTAAATTTCTTAGTTTATAAACACATCATTCATCAGTGTAGAAGTTTATAGGCTTGCCAAGTGGAGCCATGTATTAGTATTCTGCATAAAGGGCTGGTTGGTTTCTTCAGTTGCAAGCAGCCAAAGCTTGAAAATTTGAATTGAATGCTAAATGTTGAAGACGTGCATATTGGATAGAGCGGATGTGTTTTCTCCTATACTCCTAAGTCGAAATCTTACTTTCACAGTTTATATTAGTTTAAAGTAGAGTATCGATGGTAAATCCAAGAACTTGTAAATTTTAGTAGTATATTTGAAGTTTGGAATTTCGGGCACGGGACCCTCGGAATTGATAGTTGATGATGATGGCTCTTTCTTGACTCAAACAATTCCTTGCTACAATTTAGAAAATCGTACTTCTCGTTCTCTTGTCTTTATCAAACACAGTTGAACGGTTTATTCAGCACATATTCTAATTCCCCAGTTGGATGTACATCTTACGTATCATCTCAAATAGCACTAATACTGTTGCAATATTCCCCAAATAGCATTATTGTTTTAAAAAATAGCTTCACCATACAAATAATGAAGATCATCTACATATGATGTTGATATTGTCGATGTTCCCGAGATAGTCTGGATATTATATAACTACTGTATCATTAAGTTGTCATTATTGGTTGGAAAATGTTAATGGCACATTACTTTTTTCCTCATGCATATTTTTCGTTATTTTGTCATTAGATTGAGCAAATTAAATAAGAGTGATCATTGAGTCGTTTAATGGTACTCATCTTCAATTATAAGTGAGATGTCATAGGTTTGAATCTGGAAAATTACGAGTGTGCAACCTATTTTTCCGCACTTCTTTAATGTAAATATATCGTTGTATAAAAAATAGAGAGAATAACATTGTGTAATTATTATTTCCATGGTTAATTTTGTGGATTTCTATAGATTTTACCAAACAAGGGACAGGCCTCGAATGACCCTCTAGGCCAAGAACTTTTGTTGATTGTTTTGGGGTTGCCCCACTTTTCCCCCAAAATGTCAATGTTGCTTGGCAGACACATTGAAAGGTACGGAGAAATTGTTCATATTGCATGCTGGTTTTGCAAGAATGATGAATGCTCTCTCTCTCTCTCTCTCTCTCACTCATATAAAGTAGAGTATTCCTGCAACCATTTTGAAAATAATAATTTAAGCGGATTTAAGTCTTTGAAATGAAGTAACTGCACCTCTAGAAATAGGAGGGAAAATAAAGAACATAGAAGTGTTCTTTAAAGATTTGGTTAGGGAAACCGCTTGGCGCTAGTTTAGTTCGAATCTTCCTTCTAATAGATTATAGTTGTTTAAAATATCGTTTTTGTTAAAAAGAAAAGGGATAGCCGGATTAAGCAAACCAAACAACATGTAATTGAGTGGGTTTCCAAAGGGCAAAATATAATGCAGACAATATTTATGTGATTCTTCTACTAAGTTGCTCAGCAATGGCAAACGCATGAGGTCTGCCCCACATCGGAAGTGGGATTTCACTTATTTCAGGGAATAATCTGAGGACCCCAAAATCCCAAAAAAATGCATAAATAATCAACTGAGAGAGTAAGTTGCATGCCTAAGCAAAAAGTAGCCTCGTGTGAGCTGTTTGCAATTGTCTTGTCCTACTTCAAAAGCTCTTCCCATATGAACGAAGTGGAGCAAATATTCCTTTCCTTGTAGTGAATAATATGGTTTTTATATATAAAGTTTTGAGAAGAAAATAAATTTAAATTTAAAAAATATAAAAAGGAAAGGGAAAAGCCTTCTTTTGCTTTGTTATTTTTGGTCTGTCTTGCTCTGATGGGTGCAGCGAATGCAAAAAAGATGAGGAATCAAATCAATGATGTTGTGTTGTTGGGAAGTTTCCGTTTTTTACATTTGCGTTTGCAATGGTTAGAAGATGTCAAAAAGTACAGGCTTCTGATGATTAAAGCTAACTTTGCAACCTTTTATAGCTAGCAGCTCACTGTTGTTTGTTGTGCTAATTGAGAATATTTTTCTGCGGTTGGATGTTGAGATATGTCTTCCCTCTAAACACTTTAATTGAGTATAGTATGACTCACCTGTCACGCGTTATATACGATGTGATAAACTTTTATCTCACTCCTCACTTGAGGCACGATGAGAAAAAAAAATACAATCTTTTATCTCATTCTTTACACAAATAACGTGAAAAATGAGATACAACATAGAGGCATGGAGAATATGTATAAGTTTTTCGGATAATTATATGAGACATAAGGGGGCGTGGATATAATTACATTATCCATAGATCTCCAGCTTGACCATGATGGTTGTGTGCATGCAGCAGGATATGATAAACTTTTTACTTTTTCCTATCTCATCTTGAAATATAGCAGAGTTCAATTAAAGAATCGAAATTCTTTATCTGAAATTTAGCAGAATATTTGGTAATTTCTGAAACTTAGACTTAGCCTAATTTGGAGGAGATCAATTCTTACATGTAATGAAGGATAAATCTTCATCACTCTATCTCGCTCATAAAACAGCGTCATCTTATCTCACTCATCGCATCACTGCGTCTAATTTAAAGAATATTCTTACATGTATCTGAATGAATCTCCATCACCTTATTTCGCTCATTAAATGCGATGTGTTATATAATAAATGAGACATAGTTGGTGATACATCCTCCGGTACACTAAAGTTTTCTCTGGATAAGAACTTATTCAGAACCATTGGCCATTATATATTTTGGTTCTAAAGTTATCTGCAAGGTATGATGCGTGAGCTAGTAAACTTAAATTAATTAACAACTACTAATTAACCATGGAACCAAATCAACCAAAGCAATTTTCTTTTTGAACTAAACTTTCATTTGAAAGAAAATCTCTTCAGTACATTTAATTCTAAACATTCCACCCCTTTCTCTGTACACAACTTAACTCAAATCCCTTCACATGAAAACCCTTTCTGCCTGCACCCGTAAATGTGCTTCAATCTTCTGCAGGTGGAGCACTGATTGATCCACTACACCTCCTCTGAGTTGCTTACGCGTCATGTGGGAAGATTAGGAAACGTTGATATCTCAACTTGCAGCCTCTGAGATGCTGTGTAATGATGGCTGCCACGTTCTTGATGTTGTTGCTGTTCTTGGTCGGTGTCCTCCTCTCTCTTGTTTATTATTCACCTGTTGAAAATATTTGAAATGATTAATTAGAGAGTGATTTTCACTTAATCATTATTTCTACAGAACAATTAATTCAACTTTTTATTTAATTATTTATTGATTCTTTCAATTATTTATTAATTATATTTGTTTATTCATTTAGCACATTACCGAAGGGAGTTTCAAAGCATTTTATAATTTTTATTTATTTATTCATCTACTTAATGATTTAAGCCGTTACAGAAGGGAAACTCATTGACTCAAATGCTTTTTCCCCGATTTTATGCTGATTTAATAAATCAAAGAATCTTCTTTAATTATGAACTTGACTAAATAATTATGCTTTTTACTTAAAACCTTAATCAATTAACAAGAATGGGATTGACCACTTCAAGCACAATCAAAGCTTTAAAAGGCTTGCAGTTCAGTGATTAAGAGCGTTTAACTTTAGACCTGAAGCTTCGTGTTCAAGACTCAATTGGTTTGAGAGGTTCAGAAACTTAAAACCATATATGCAATTGTAGAAGAGAATCTACTCGAAATGTGACAGAGGGATTAGACGTGAACCTAATTAATAATCAAGAAGATAAACTTGTTAAATCAAATTTTAATTACCTGGATGTCCTTCTCCAGCTCAGAAGTCTCAGATCTTCTGGCTGATGTCAGAACTTGCTTCTCTCTCATCACCCTCTCCACTTGTGGCTTCTGCTCTCCTTCCACCTGATGATTATGATTTCTCTTCACCTTCGTTTGTTTCTTTGCCCACAATCCCTTCATCACTTCTAAAAAACAAACCATGATTTAATTAAGCTCTCATAATTTTAAAGGAAAAATGAGTTCAAAAATAAGAAGATTAAACAGAACAAAGTGCGATAATTTGAGTTAAGCTAATTGGTTATGACGGTAGACCGCCCTGACTAACTAAGGGTTGTGGGAATATGCCGCCCTCTCTAACCCTAGTTGGTAAGGACAGTGTACCATAACCATGACCAACCCTTAGGTACCCCCTTAGTTGGTAAAGTCCGCCTCATTGTGTCTGAGTTCGAATTCCTTTTTTTCTTTTTTCCGTTGATTAGAATAGTTAAAAATATTAATAAAAATTTGAGTAAAAGTTTAAACCTTGAGTGGTGATGAGTCTGTAAACTTTGCCAAGAACAAGAGAATCGGTTGGCCTGAGGAGCTTTATGCGCGTCACGCGAAGCGAAGAAGCGGTGTTCTTGTTGTCGTCCGTATTCGAGTTCTTGTCTTTCCTGTCACCGCCATTGTCGGTGGTGGGATTGGAGGGACACAAGGTGGTGGAGATAAGAAGAGCAACATAGTGGCCAGGGTTCATCTTCATAATCTCACTTGCACTCACTGCCCAATAGAACTTCTCTTCTTTCCCACTTGGGTGTTGTACTACCAGTGTTGCTGCATCAATCGCTTGACAATTTCCCATTTTCTCTCTCTCCTACTCTCTCTCTCTCTCTCTCTCTCTCTCTCTCTCTCTCTCTCTCTCTCAAGAATGAAGTTAAGAAAAGGGAAGAGAAGGTAGGGGGAAAGAGGAGGTGGTTTGAGCTCTAGAACAAGCTCTTTATAGCCATCCACCAAGTCACCAACGCCCCACTTATCATCTTTTGCTTATATTACTTCTGTAATTATGGTCCAAAAGATAATAAAGTTTGATATAGGGGTAGTTTAGTGATTTAGGTCCAACTTTCCATGGCGTGGAGATCCGTGATTGGTTGGCTGGACAAAGGAGAGGTTTAGAGCCCTTGAGGGGTTGTTCCTTTTATTTATTTTTTTCGAATTGAGGGGTTGTTGCTTAATTAGATGCTTTGTAAAAACAAATAGATGCGTTCCA